AAACTAAAAACCAATCCTCTCCATTGGATCTAGATTCATCCTATGGCTGAGATTAAATCTGCATAAGGGTAATCAGGTAAAATAAACATCCCCTAAAGAGAGGTAATTAATGCTTGTCTATTGAGTTCTCCATTTCCCCATGCAATCTCACGGCTCAGACAACCCAACAGTCACGAACAACAGTCCTCTCCCTCCACAACCAGCATCTCTCGTTCATCGTCGTTCAGCTCTTTCTCCACAACCAGCTTCATTGTCCTTCAGCTTTCTCGTTCATCTATCCTTCAGCTCTCTCGTTCATCTGTCCTTCATCGTATTTGAGCTCTCTCGTTCATCGTCCATTATCTGGCCATTCTTAAACATTTTATGGAGATTTAAATGGAGAGCTTGAATTCAGGTGAGCAGGTTCATGCATGTTTTCATTGTAATCGATCCAGATTCAGTATTTCAATACTTAGTCATATGACTTATTATATAGTAGCTTACATTCTTAAATATTTTTTAGAGATTTAAATGGAGAGCTTGAATTCAATTGAACACGTTCTAGTTGTTAATCTAGATTCACTGCATTGAATCGAGATTCATTGTTAGAGACTGTAGTGATTTTCATAATTTATTCACTTGTTTACTGTAGTGAATTTGGATTCAATGCAGTGAATCGAGATTAGTGATTTTCATAATTTATTCACTTGTTTACTGTAGTGAATTTGGATTCAATGCAGTGAATCGAGATTCACTCCAGATTAATTAGCAATAACATGAATTCAATGCAGTGAATCAAGATTCACTCCAGTGAATCTAGATTCACTCCAGTGAATCTAGATTTATTATAATGGATCCAGATTCAGTATATCAAAACTTAGTCATATGACTTATTATCTAGGAGTTTACATTCGTAAACATTTTTATGTAAATTTAGTTGGAGAGCTTGAATTCAGTTGAACACGTTCTAGTTGTTAGAGTATGCAGTGATTTTCATAATGTATTCACATGTTTAATGTAGTGAATCTGGATTCAATGCATTGAATCCAGATTCACTACATTAAACATGTGAATACATCGGCAAACAGAGAAGAAACATGAGGACGGTACAGTTCTTCTTAAACACATTGTTTGCAGTAGAGCTGGCAGCAATGAATCAAAGATGGATGTTGATTATGAGGATTTTAGTAGCTGTTCGAAAAAGAGAAGGAGAACTGCATCTAGTAAATGTGGTTGCAAAGCTAAAGTTATTTTTAAGTTTGATGGTTTAAAAGGATATAATGTTCTCTCATTCGTTGAAGAGCATTCTCATTTTTTGGTCTCCGGTAGTGGGAAACAATTTTTGAAGTCAAATAGAGTTCTCGGTCTCGCACATAAGAAACTTGTATTTGATGGAGCAAAAGCCAACATGGGGCCTAACAAAACATATAACTTTGCTAAGGAGTTGTGTGGAAATTATTCTAATGTTGGTGATACGTGTACCGAGTTTAAAAATTAGAGTAGGGATGTGAAGCTTTATATTGGTGATCGAGATGCTCAAATGATCATCGAGAAGTTCACGGATAAGAAGGAGATGAGTGATGGATTTTTCTATGATTATGCAGTCGATGAAGGGGGTCGATTAACTCGCATTTTTTGGGCAGATGTTATTGGGCGAAGAAATTACGATGTATTTGGAGATGTGATATCATTTGACTCTACATATTCCACAAACAAGTAAGATTTTATAGTTAATCTCTTACGATTTTCAATATTGTTATTATATATCATAGTGAATCTTATATTTTTTGTATGTGATACAATAGGTACAACATGAAGTTTGTTCCATTTACTGGTCTCGACAATTATAAGAAGTGTGTTGTATTTGCAGCAGGATTGATAGCTAAAGAGGACATTGATAACTATGTCTGGATTTTTGAGGTATTCATGAAATGCATGATTCGCGAGCCAAAGTGTATTGTTACAGATCAGTGCCCTGCCATGAAGCAAGCTATACCAACCGTCTTTACAGAAGCACGTCACCGTTTGTGCATGTGGCACATCATGAAGAAATTTAACCAAAAGGTAATGAATCCCACATATAAATATAATGAATCCTCATTAGACAAATACTGAATCTTTCGTTATATATTTATATTGTAGTTGGCAAAATGCATTTCGAAGATGGATGATTTCAAGAGGAAGATCAATGCACTGATTTGGAGTATAGATATAGATCCAGCAACATTTGAAGTCGGTTGGAAAGATGTTATGAAAGAATATAAGCTTGAAAGTAATGAATGGTTGTGTGAACTGTATAACATTCGGGAGTCATGGATTCCAGCCTATTATGCTGATGATCCAATGGCCGGTTTATTGCGGACTACATCAATATCAGAGAGTGAGAACAGTTTCTTTGACAAATTCAACCGTAGATCTGACACATTGACAGAATTTTATCTCCGATACGAGAGTGCTATGGAGAAGCAAAGGCATACAAACGCAAGATTAAACTATGAAGGAACAAAGTCGATGCCAAGAATGGACACGCCATTGTTATTGGAGAGGGATGCAGCAGAAACTATGAACGAACAAAGTCGATGCCAAGAATGGACACGCCATTGTTATTGGAGAGGGATGCAGCAGAGTTGTACACTCGAACAATGTTTTATGAGGTACAGAAAGAGATAATGTCATCCTGTTATGATATGAGCATTAACAGTATATCAGAAGAAGATGGTGTGAAGATTTTTTCCTTAAAGGACAAAAAGAGACATGGAAAAATATTTGAGGTAAAACTTAATAATGGAGATTGAAATAATAAAAATTGAATCCAGATTCAATGCAGTGAATCGCGATTCAACGAAGTGAATCTCGATCCACACCACTGAATCGAGATTCAGTGACCATTTCATTCGCTTGTCATATTCTTTTTTTATTCGGTGCTAATATACATTGTTTTTTGAATTTTAGGTGAAACACGCTTATTTGAACAATGACGTGCAATGTACGTGTAGGCTGTTTGAGAAAATGGGTATAGTATGTAGACATGGTTTTTTGCACTGAACCAAGCTGATGTAACAAAAATACCAAGACATCTTGTTGTGAACCGATGGAAAAAAGGTGCTGAGATGAGGCATTCACTGCAGTTCAAGGAAATATCAAAACAGTGCAATGCAATTGAAGTTACAAATCGCAAGTTGAATGACATATGGTATGATTTCCAATCCTGTGTGAGTTTGGCAGGTTTAGATGGTGAGAGACTTGACTACGTGGAAGGGAAGTTGAAGGAGTTGAAGCACAGTTTGCGTGAATCTAGTTGGAAATCTGACACACAGAACAAAAATGATGTAATGGAGTTTTTTGTTGGCTCAAAAATACCAGCGGAAGTGATCGTTAAACCTCCCATTGAAGGTAGAAACAAGGGGTGTGGACGGAGAATTGTTGGTGATTATGAGAAATCAATTAGTCAACAAAAGAAGAAGGTGCCAAGGCTGTGTAATATGTGCAAAAAAATCGATTTCCATGACGCACGGACATGCCCATTAAAGAAAACAATACAGTAGAGTGATGTTTAATTTAGTTGTCATATTTCGTTTCAAAATCATGTTTAGAAATATATTTCTTATTAAAATTGCTGAATTGTGTAATTCTTAACTACATATATTTACTAGATTATTAATTACATGGTTACGTTGTGTCATGTTAATATATTGAAGTGAGATCTACTCATATAGCATGTGAATTCCATTATTATTAGTTGTATTATTTCAAAAGGAATGGTAAAGTAGTTGTATGCAGTCATCAGTTTAAATTTGATTCGCTTTAAGTGATACTGGACTAACTATATTGAATCTAGATTCATTGTAGTGAATCTAGATTCACTGATATTGATTCTCCATATCACTATAGGGATTCATTATAATCAATCAAATAATCAAATTATTTGATTGTTTTGGTTTAAGTGATTCTGGATTAACTATAATAAATATAGATTCATTTTAGTGAATCTGGATTCACTGAACTGAATATGGATTCACTATAGTGAATCTATTTTCAATCAAATAAATTACTAAAAACTTAAGATAATATTGACTTACTGAATTTTTCAGTGTAGTGAATCGAGATTCACTATGGTGAATCTAGTTTCAATCAAATAAATTAGTAATAACTTAAGATAATATTGAAATAGTGATTCCAGATTAGTGAATCTAGTTTCAATCAAATAAATTAGTAATAACTTAAGATAATATTGAAATAGTGATTCCAGATTAAATACATACAATCCACAATAAGTATGATTAATTTATTTTATGTTACATAAAACCTTGAATTATAAATCACATTCTCTGCTTAAATCGAAATTCTTTCAATTGCATTGAATACCTTGACAGTATTTTCATATATCCAAACTATTCACAAATATAGATATAAAATTATGACAAAGCTATTCTTTTAAAGTATATTTACATAGAAAAGTAGTTCAACACAAACTGGAGTATTCTATAACATTAAATGACAATGTACTCAATAACAGTAAACTTTAACATTGGAAATTATGGTGATTACAGAATATCATTTTCTTTGAGATCTTGTGGTCTTCCTCGTCTCTTTTTTGACATTGGCAGTTTCAGCATGGTGCTGTTGGGCTTTGCTGATGACTTCTTTGGCCAATTCATTTGTTGGTTCAGTAAGAATTTGGCAACAGTATATAGACCTCAGTCTATGTAGCTGATTTTTTAATCGCTCCTGTCGATATGAACAAAAGTTCAGTTCAAGATTCAGTAGCTATATTCTAAATTTTATTAATTCGAAAAGACTAACTGTAAATCTTATTAGATTCAGTAGCTATATTCTAAACACTTACACCCTCTCTATGAAAACCAGAGTTCCAATTTGCTGTACCACCGCCCATGTAGGTCTCCATATGTCTCATGACAAAAATAGCACAATCAAATTTGTTTTTGGCTGTTCTCCACTCCATCTCAAGTCTGTCAGGTGTTAATGTATTTATTTCACTCGCCTTGTGATGTTTTTTGTGTGCCAAATATCTCACAAAATTCTGGTGCTGTTTAATCAAAAGTAATCAGCGTCACATAACAAATCCAAATTATTATACAGTAATGTTTAATGTAATATACAAATTGTTTTGGTTGTTTATATGGTAACAATATTAATGACATTGGGATTTAATAGAGTTAGTTCACCTGGACTCACTCTAATGAATCTGGATTCACACTAGTGAATCTGGATTCACTAGAATTAGCTATAGCTAGTGGATCGTGATTACGTGATGTTAACACAGATTCACTAGCTCTATTGAATCGAGATTCATAGTAAAATGTGAATCCAGGTTCACTAACTCTATTGATCGAGATTTCAGATCACTAGTTATAGCTAGTAGATCGTGATTACGTGATGTGAACACAGATTCACTAGCTCTAGTGAATCGAGATTCATAGTAAGATGTGAATCCAGATTCACTAACTCTAGTTATCGAGATTCACTAGAGTTAGCAAATCTGTTATTCTCTGACTCTAGTGAATCCGGATTCACTATAGTGAATCCGTATTCACTATAGTGAATCCGTATTCACTATAGTGAATCCAGATTCACTTATTACTGTATTCTGCCAGTAAATGTTTAAAGAACATACGTAAGGTGGAAAAACATACCAAACCCTCAGGACGACCTTGGTATTTTTCCTTGTAGTCTGGGCAGTTTTTGCTATTGTCAATCAGCTCCATACTTGGATTCTTTAGCCCATAGCACACAATGTAGAAATGCTCAAACGCATTTATGGGGAAGAAGACCTAATGGTTGTGAAATTTAATCAGAGATTTTACAGATATAGTTAAAATTGGGTTAAAGAACAAAAACATGGTCTTCGAATCTTTACCATATCAATCTCATTAAACTTCATATGTGGATACAGAGCAAGTTGCTCATCCATCCAGAATCAAACCGACTGTATCTCAATTCATCATTGGCCTCATCTGTGTGATGAATGTTGCAAAACTGTACAACATAAACTGAATAAATAAGATGTAACTCAAGTGTTATTTTAAATAAAATAAAGGAAGATACGTACGGTTGTCTCAACATTGCAGAAGAATCTAAGTGGAGAATTTTCTGACTTCATTTTTTCTCTGCTGTTCAAAATATAGGACCAAATGCTGATTATATTTACCTCAATGTAATCAGCAGGAAGGAAAGTCTTGAAAGCAGGTAAGAAACATTCAATTTGTCTCCACTTAAAAACCATTTCACTGAAAAAACAGTAACAATATTCAATGCAATAAAGTGACAAAATACTAAAAACAGTGAGTCTCACACCTAAAAATAAAATATCAAATAAGATTTAAGAACTCACAAATTCTCTTCTTCAGCAGAATCATCACCTGAATGCCTTGCTTCTTCTCTATGCACCCAATTCCATATGATGCTTTGCCTAGCAGTAATCTGAGATACCCTCTGCACCCATGGTGACCGAAGAGACGTTGCAGGCTTCACCATCCTCTTTTCTTTCCCCCTTCCCGCATGTCCCTTATTTTCGGTCACCTGAACTTTCTTACCTTTACATTCATCTACTGCAGCGGCATCTTTAGCTTGTTTATCAGTTCTTCGTACAGAGTCATCAATGATTTCAGATTCACAAGTTTTAGCAATCTGAACAACATCAACCATTTCTACTGTCCCAGTCTGAGTATCCTGTGTCAGCCCAAGAGAAAAAACTAGGTTCTTCAGTCTGTGGGGTACCACATTCGCTGAGCTTCCGCCTCACTGGTCTGTCAACCTTTTTCATGCTAACAGACTCTATAATCTTATCAACTTCTTGAATAAACTTTGGGGAGACTTGTGTTTGTGGTATCTCAGCTGATATTGGATCAACAGCAGGGGAACCATGCATATTTCTACTCACCTTGGTGTTCACATTAGGGGTATCATCAACAATGTTTCCCACAGCTGTTTCATCGTCACAGGTACTTACACGATGTCCACACCCCTGCACAAGAACATTTGAAACTCTCTGTTGAAGTTGAAGAGCTCATTGTCATTGGGGAACAGCTTTCTCATTGTCTCACACTCAGCATCATATCTATCTTTTGCAGATTTCAACTCTGCAGCTCTCCGTTGAACCCTCTCAATACAATCCTGCAGTTTGAATATCACAGACATTTGTCACCATAAATTATTAACATGGCGAGAGACAAAATTCGATAGATTGAGATTACATTCAATGTATTTGTATCAAGATTCAAATGACTGAATCCAGAGTCGACTAAAATAATTCCAGTTTCACTTTAGTGAATCGAGATTCAGTAGTAGTGAATCCAGATTCACTTCAGTAAATTGATATTGAGTATCATTGAATCCAGATTCACTTAAGTGAATCGGAATTCAGTTTAACTTAATCGATAATCACTGATCTGAAACGAGATTCATTACTAGTAAAACGATTCATTGTACTGAATCGACATTCATTTTAAGTGAATCGAGATTGACTCCTACTGAATTGAGATTAAATTGAATAAACAAAGACTTACAACTTAATTTGCTAACCTTTCTAATTGTATCAACACTTTTAAGCGAGTTTCCAGTAGCAATATGCATTCGAGATGAAGGTGCAAGTTCAACCCTCTCTGTAAATGCACCTTTGCCAAATGAATTTGTACTTATTTCCTCTGTCTGTCTTTCCTTCAAGGCCAAGTCAGTCCAGCCTAAAAATGTAGGTGTTATTCTCTCAACCAACCTCCTCCCTTTGAACAAAACCCGATCGGCATAGAACAACTACAAAGACGGAGATAAGAAATAAAGCACAGCAATTAGTAATCATCAAGTAAAACTACTTTAACTACAGTAATGTAAAAATAAATCAATATTATACAAGTGACTTACAATCAAGAATGCAAGAGGACCCGTGTAGAATTGTTTTGTCGGGTCAACCTTCCACTTGTGTTGGCTATCTATCATTGAGTCAAGTAATAAAGAACACCAATTGTATTGAGAGCACTGATCAACATTATCACCAAGTACTAGAATCCGTTGGTTGACATACGGATTGCTAAGCGACTGGATCATGCTGTTGTGAAAGAGAACCAAGAAATTGAGTTTAAAAAACAGGTTAACATCAGAACTCTGCTTCAGTTTCTCAGACACAGCCCCTGGAGTAATTTTCCAACCAAATCTGTCTGTGAATTGAGCCCTCCCTCAGACACAGCCCCTGGAGTAATTTTCCAACCAAATCTGTCTGTGAATTGAGCCCTCCATTCATCCACTAATGCTGACTTCCCAATACTGGAGGCTAGTATACGCTTCCTGCCCAGAGGTAATCCCATCACTTGATGTACATCTTCCTCTGTGATACTTATTGATCCTCTGGGAAGATTAAGCGCAACGGATTCACTGTCAAAGGACTGCAGAATCTGGTACCCCAACATATGTGGCAGTTCCTTTAATCCAAATTATAAAAGACCTCCAAGTCCAGCTAGTCTCACCCATTCTTTTTGGGAGTCAGAGAGTGACAAAACCATATCAGAGAATATCTTTGGAGAGATCCGTATCCTAGTCAACTCCTTAGGTTCAGACCTCACATTTTTTTTTTCAAAAACTTCTCCAGTGAAAAAAAAATATAAGTAGATCGAATTATCCATCAGTTAATACAAAAAAAATAAAGATGTTTAGTACAACAACATTTTCATCTTCTTCCTTTCTTTTGTGATCTGTTCATTGTCTTCATCCCTCCTACGCTTTGATGTTTTATCACCGGCAGGATTATTTGGGGAGTTGACGAGGTCATCGTCACTGTTGGACCTCACATATTTTTTTTTCACAACATTCTCCAGTGAGAAAAATAATATAATTAGATCAAATTATCCATCATTGAATACACAAAAAAAATTAAAGATGTTTAGTACACCAAGATGTTTACTGTAGTGAATCTTGATTCAATGCAGTGAATCGAGATTCGCTCAAGTGAAAAGAGATGTTTAGTACACCAACCCTTTTCGTCTTCATCCTTTTTGGGGTCTGTTCATTGTCTTCATCCCTTGTACGCTTTGATGTTTCCTCACCGGCAGGATTATTTGGTGGGTTGATGAAGTCATCGTCACTGCTGGGCATGTTCACAGTGCATGTTTTCCTCTGTTGAGGTATAGGTGTAAATACCTCAACACTCCCAACACATGCTGTTTGCTTGTTCCTTGAGCTAGATCGTAGACCTGTTAAACCGATGACAATTCATTTTTTAATGAGACCAGACTTTGAATAATGCATGACAAGCATGAAGGTTGAATCACATTATTGAATCAAGATATTATAATCTGAACCGTAATTCACTCCAGTGAATAGCGATTCGCTGAAATGAATCTCGTTTCACTCCACTAAATCGCGATTCACTTGAGTGAATCTCAATTCACTCCATTGAATCGATGTAGTGAATCGAGATTCACTGTAGTGAATCGAGATTCACTTGAGTGAATCTCGATTCACTATAGTGGATTCAACCAAATGTATTAAGATTCAACAAATTGAATCCAGATTCAACAAAATGTATCGAGCTTCAGCAAATTGAATCCATATTCAATGATATGAAACCAAATCTATGACATACCATACATTGTTTCAGTGTATCGTCCCTCAACACAACAAGGAAAAACTGATTATCGTTACAGTTTAATTTCACTGATAGTATACATAAAGCATATAATTTTTCCATCCTATATACTCGACCTCGGATCATATTTGGGAAAGTTTCCATCCTATATACTCGGCCTCGGATCATATTTGTTATTTTTTACAAACAAACAAACAATTATGATAAAGTTGAAGTTTAAAGAGCAATCATTTTTCCGTAACTGGTAAGAACATCCAATATATGAATCTCAATTCTCTACGAAGGATTCACATTAGTGAATCGAGATTCTCTATGTTTGAGTGAATAGAGATGACTCCAATGAATCGCGATTCACTTGAGTGAATACAAATTCATCCAATGAATCGCGATTTACTTGAGTGAATAGAGATTCATCCAATGAATCGCGATTCACTCTAGCGAATCTCGATTCATCACAGTGAATCTCGATTCACTAAACTGAATCAAGGAGATTCAACTAGAGTGCATATTGCAGAATCCAGTCAACCAAAATTAATCGCTACCCATTTAGAACAAATGAAAACATCTTAAAATATTAAAAAAAAACTTAAATTATTCAAACAAGATAAAGGAAAATGTAAAAAATAAAAACCCTAAACTAGAACATGCATCGATAACATTTTATAAAGTTAAAAAAAAAAAAATAAAAACCCTAAACTAGAACATGCATCGATAACATTTTATAAAGTTAAAAAAATAAAATAAAAAAGTATTCAACAACATGCAAGTAAGTTAAAAAAATAAAATAAAAAAGTATTCAACAACATGCAAGTGATTCATGTCTAAATTTCGAACTTTCCCTCACTGAATCTTTGAAAAATGTACAAACTTTGATAAAAAATATACATTTTTAATACGAGGGTTGGAATCGTTTTATCCTTTCTTGAAGACGAGGGTTTTGGAGTCTCTGAGTTGTTTTTCTTCATCTCGATCGTCGAAGGCTTGCTGTTCGTCTTCGTTCGAGTTGTAATGAGCTGTTGAAAGAAAACCTAAGTGTTGAGAAATCGTCGGAATGTGAAGAGTTTAGTTGTTCGGGTAGAGAGGATGAAACTGGGTTCACGATAGAGTGAAACTGAATCGTCTTTTTCGTGAAAGACGGTCTTTGACAGCTTTTGGTAATTAATTACAGCGTGTTTCATTAATGATTCTTTCCTAAATTACCCCTTTTACTGGTATTTTGTTATCTGATATGTATTTATTTTCAATTCTGCTATTTTCAATCTTGACCATTGGATGAAATAGAATGTAGGGTTAGGATTGGTTTTTAGTTTTCTAGGTTTTTATTAGAACCTTCCAATAT